GTAAATGAATGTCACATCCTAAACTTAATACGTTTTCAGTTTTAGACTTCTTTAATCTTTTTCATATCACATGATGAAATGATATTGTATGTCTGAAACGATAAAGCAACCTCAACAGAAAGCAAAGTGATACAATCGCACACTCTGAAGTCCCTCCATTAAAAGTACCTTAGATTTGTAATGACAAAAAATGATAACGTTAAATAAGCAAATGGAGAACATTGCGTTTGAGCAGCTGTATGGTGTATCATCCGAGGCCCTCAAAAGTATTTTGGAAACAAGGTTTACACTGTTAGGATTTAGCATGGACACCCTGTTTAAATACACTAGAAATCATCCTTTATAAAAGGTTCTTCTTTTATTCACCTCTGTCGTGGTTTAGGTTGTTACACTGTGAGAGGTTGTCCTGGTTTAATACACAAAAAAGAAAGAAACTTTACTAAAATGTTTATTTGCAAGTAAACCAATGTAGTAATTATACAGGCATACAGCATATAGAACAAATGAACCACCTCTAAAATCCAGAATATTTTTTTGCTCTGCTGACAATCCTCTAAGCACCAGAGAAGAATCCGATTTGTTAATATACTGGTTCATTTTCTTGCCCTCCCATCTTGTTATCTACCCTTTTTTTCATCCCCTTTGTATTTTTCCCTCATACCACTCTTTAAGATAATTTTCTCCAATACATTAACTCTTTTTCTTTTTATTGTAGCAATTCGTTCCTTTGTCTTCCTTTTTTGTAATGTAATTCTTCAATTTGAATTCTTCACATTCTTGCAAATGTCATTCTTCACTTGTCTAATTTAACAATATTACTGCCAACCACTGGCAGAAGCAAAATCTTTTTTAGCATCCATGGTGAGAGAATAGAAAGCACCTTAAAAACATCTTTGTGCAACAGATGTCTTACACTGAAATATAGTTGTTTGATTTCCATTTTTACACAATTTTTTTTCATTTGTATACACTGCTTATTAAAAAGTAACAAATTAATAGCAATTTTAAGCATAGCTTCCACACAAATTACAACCAAACCCTTAGAAGTTATATTTTAAAATAGAAATTAGTGTATTTTTCAGAGAAACCTATTTTATTATAGCTATTTTTGAGAATTTCTTCCGCCTACAACCCTCTCTCTTTGTAAACATCTGTACTCTATGAAACTAATTCTAAATCAAAGACCTGTTTATTTTAAACTGAAAAATCAAGCTTTCAAAGAAGCTCTTGGTAATTATCAGGTAATATTAAAGACAAGTAAAAAGTGTAGAGCTAGATTACTCACGGGGTCTTCTTTAGCGCCTAGTCCATCATAATGCATGACACCAAGCTGATACATTGCTTGAAAATCCGTATCCTGAATTTTTTCAAAGTGTATTAATGCTTCTTCATACAGCCCCTGGGAAAGACAGAATAAGCAATGACGTACACAGAACGAAGAGTACGTACGGCAGCTTCACTCTCCGGTGTGTACTCTCTTAACAGTATTTAAACCTGGAGCGTCTCCCTAATGAACAAAGAACAAAAAATTGCAACTGTAGAAGTGGCAGAAAACAGAAATGGAGTAAGTCAACAACCACAAGAAAGTTGGACAGCATGGAAGCACTGATGACTTTCAAACAAGTTTTCATTGTTTGTGTATCTGTTAAAAAAAACCCTAGATATCAGTAGTGGTATACAAATGTCATCTCTGAAGACGAAAGATATTCTGACAACATTTCTTCCCCTCCCCCCAAATGCCATTTTTTTTAGCTTAGAGAGGCAAAAGTCTAACTCGGGTGCCCTGCCCTATCTATCTGACATCCCTTGACTTCAGCGAGCGGTTCGTATACCTCGAGGGTTTCAGAGTCTGCTTTTACATCTCCACTAAGGGTTGGTTTCACAAAGACTAGACTCAGAAGACTTTATGGACCCAGCTATCTGCCCCCCGTTTCTTATGAAGGCATTGTCGGCAACAGCAGGGACACTTCCACTTCTAAGAAAGAATCTCAGAGAGTATTTGCTTCTGCATTAAGTCAAAGAAGAAACTATATTTTAAAATACACAGTTAAGTGTAATGTAACAGTTAACTGAGCCTGATGCCCTTACTGAAAACTTTTTATCCGTGCATATAAGCGTACTAAGTAAAAACAATATTGAAATCAAAATGTTCTTCTCTATACTTTTCCATCAATTTTTCTGTATGTTTCGATAAAACAATACCAGACTGCAAAAGCTTAGAACTGAGCGATAGTTCGACAGTCAGTCAATCATCCTCACAATGACCAAACGCCCCTTGTTAATACTGTCCAAGCTATTAATTGTCTAAATTACTAATTGTCTCAGGAGCTTAGCCATTATGACTGTGTGGGCTTTATTTTTTTGAAGAACTCTGAAAAAAAAAACCAACAACCACCTTTTTACAACCAGCTGTCATGAGTATCAGAAAAAGAAGTAGGGGAGGCACCTGTACTCTCACCTTCCCTGAGAATTTACTGCTATAAGGAGTTGTAGGACTCTAATCAGGCAGTGATTTTTTTTCTAACATCCGAAATTGCAGTGCTACGAGAACAGGCATTTTTAGGCACTACAGGCAGACGTCCAAAAATCTGGAAATTAAAACCTCCTCAAAGAATAAATTTAGGGATGGACAGCAATATATAACATGGACATCCAAGCCAACTCATCAAGAAACAGGCAGGTCTCCTGCTCCATGGGGTCAGTCTTGATCATGCCAAAATCAGGCAATTCATTAACGAAAACATTAAGAAGGACAGGGCCCAGAAAGCAGAAACCCTGAGGGAGTTAATTCTGGTCCTGCTGCAAACCCTGAGACCGATTTACACTCTGCCACTAGCTGCACTACAAACAATACTGAATCCATGCACGTCACGTTTGAAAATACGTGAATTAATACTTGTACTCCATTCTTTTCCATCTTCCTGAACTGATATATTCTAATTTTCACCAGAACTTGAAGTTTAAGCTCCCCTGCCAGCCACCCCTTACGCTGTTCCTGGCGCATTTACTTTTAAATACATGGGCAACCAATTTTGGCTGAAGTGGGCAGGGACAGAAATCTCCAAGATAACACGTTTCAACAAATTTCATCAAAACTAGTGGCCAGGTAGGGAAAAAAGATCAGAAGGTGTGTCTTGGGTCAGGGACCAGTACCCCGTAGCTGAAAACACAGCGTGTAGCGTTTGCCCAGTCGGCTGGCCAAAAACCAACTCATTTTGGAAGCCAGTTGTAGGGGTGGGCTGCCGCTTACTGATCTGGTCCTTAGGAGAGCTGGGAAGGAACTGGGAGACACCACTGGATGCTTCGAGAAGTGCAGGAGAAATGTATTTAGGGGGAACACCTGGTGATTTTCATGGGAAACGAATAGGCATCTCGTGTAGTTTTGTTTTAAGGTGTCTCTTTTTCCATTGGAATGGTATTGAAAATTGTCAGCTTTATAATATTTACTTAAAAGAAGGAAACCACAACCTCTTCGTAGTACAGTTGTCCTTTCAGAAGATGTGCCAGGGGATCTCCATCTGCCGTTCTCTTTGCCAACAGCTCCTCTGCTTTTCCAAGTAAAGCAGCATGGTTGCAGTTCTCTGCTTCAAAATAGACACACATTTGGTTTTTTCCCCAAAACAGATGGAACAGCATCAGTAAGCACACTAAAGGTCTCAAGCTGGTGGCGTCCCCTTTTTATTACATTTTTTTAGAAGACTAAGATGAAAGAGAGGGCAATTTGATAAAAAGGACAAGTTTGTTCTACAATAAAGTAACCTGCTCAGTCGATGAGGGGCGAGCGGTGGACATTGTCTACCTGGATCTCTCCACGGCTTTTGACGTGGTTCCCCACAGTCTCCTCCTAGAGAAACTGGTGTGTTATGGTCTGGACAAGTGGTCTGTGCAGTGGGTGGGGAACTAGCTGACAGGCTGCACCCAGAGGGTGGTGGTCAATAGCTCCTTTTCAAACTGGAAACCTGTCACAAGTGGGGTCCCCCGGGGATCAATACTGGGCCCAACGCTGTTTAATATCTTCGTAAGTGATCAGGATAATGGGATCAACTGTACCCTGATGAAGTTTGCTGATGACGCCAAACTGAGTGGGGAAGTGGACACTTGGGAAGGGAGAGCCACCCTGCGGAAAGGCCTGGAGAGGCTGAAAGAGTGGGCTAATGAGAACCTCACGAAGTTCAACAAAGCGCAAGTGTAAGGTCTTGCACCTGGGAAAACATCGTCCAGGAGTGCAGCACAGACTGGGATCTATCCGGCTGGGGAGCAGCTCTGTGGAAAGGGACCTGGGGGTCCTGGTGGACAACAAGCTCAATATGAGTGAACGGTGCGCTGCTGCGGCAAAGAAAGCCAACAGGATGCTGGGCTGCACCAACAAGGGCACCACCAGCAGAGACAAAGAAGTCATTACCCCACTCTGCTCAGAGCTGGTCAGGCCACACCTGGAATCCTGCGTTCAGTCTTGGTCCCTGCTGTACAAGAGAGACGGTACAGAGAAGGGCCACCAAGATGATCCAAGGACTGGGAAGCCTGCCGTATGAGGAAAGGCTGAGAGAACTGGGTTTGTTCAGCCTTGACAAAAAAGGCTCAGGGGAGACCTTATCACCATGTTCCAGTATTTCAGGGGTGGCTACAAAGAAGATGGAGACTCCCTTTTTACAAGGAGTCACATGGAAAAGAGGAGGGGGGATGGGTAGAAGTTACTCCTGGGGAGATTCCAACTGGACAAGAGGAAAATTTTTCACAGTGAGAACAATCAGCCCTTGGAATGATCTCCCCAGGGGAGTGGTGGGTTCCCCAACATTGGACTTCTCCTACCTGGTGCCTCGGGGGCGGGCTGGGTGCTGCAGGCCTGGGGCTGGCGCTCGCTGCGCAGCTTCATCCTGCCCTGGTGGCCAGTGGCCTGGAGATGGCCGGTGGCGGTTGGCAGTTGTCAGTTGTTGGTTGATCGTTGTCCCCCTTGCTGTCCCGGAGCTCCCTGCAGCCCAGCCCGGACTGTGGCAGCATCCATGGCTGGGCCTTGGGGCCCTTCGACAAGGCAGAAGAAAGAAGACGGGGAAAGTAACATTGGTATTTTGGTCCGTTTTCCAAAAGAGAGGAGAGTGACAGCGTCACGTAGGTCTATGGAGGTAACACTTGGAGCTGTTGGCCAGTGCCAAACAATGCGAAAAACGGTGACGGGATAGGACAGGCTGTGGTTCAGGCATCCACCAGATCTTCCCGCTACCTGCTGGTCCTGTTGCAAATTAAATGCCGAAGCCCAAAACGCGCTGCAGAAAGCGATTATAGGCAAAAATAACAGCGACCCTGAATGCCACACAGTTACAAGGGCACTTGGCCATGAAACTTCAGTCCAGAAAATGGGACTTTGGTACTTCCAGTCATCAGAAACTGTTCGTTGTAATACAGTTTGTTTTCCTCATATAGATATTACACAACTTAGAAGGATAATTGAGGGAAAGTGCTGTTTGAAGCCGATTTTTCCTGAAACGTATTGTTTCCACTTCTGTTGCTAGCTTCTGCCCGTCTCTCTTATAAAAAGGCATATAATACCAAAATGCTGTGAGGGTGCTTTTAAAATAATCTTTAGCTGCATTCCCAGGTTGGTTTTTTTTTTTTTTCCAGATGATTATCATCCTCCCATTTTTGGCAGTGCCATCTGTTTCTATAGCAACAGGGACAGAGGCAACAGTCAGAACGGGAGAGTAATGCTGGTGGGTTCGTGTTGTTACACCCGTGGGCCCCCGTGTGATGTTTTCCAACAGCCCCAACCGACTTCTTAAGGTGCCAAAAAACTCCCCAAAGTCGTCCTGATTCGTTTGGTGTCGATGATACAGCCTAAAAAGCCTCCAGGAAAATAAGCTTTTATTAAAGCATCAATGAATGACTTGATTTAACAGGCAGAAGAGCAGTCTGGAAGCGACGATACCCTTCCTCAAAGGCAATTCACACGGGGCGGCGTTGCCGCTTTGGATGCTGAAGGGTGTGAGTTTCAGCAGCACGCCGTGGTTTATCCGGTTGCTTACAGGCATTTATTAGGGCCGGTTTTCCCAATTTCATTTTCTTGACGCCTGTGCAAGATGTGTGGTCTGACGTACGAAGCGCAGAGGAATTTTTAACGAGTTGCGTTCCAGAACAGCTGTAGCCTGGGAGCCTCGTCCTTAAGTGGCACTTGGGCTGGGCCATACAAAATCCATCAGAAATGTTGCACCTGTGTTTATAACCAAAACAAGCGTCAGTTCATCAGGGGCAGAAGAGTTTTGCAGGCACTAACAAGGCAAGCAAAATGTGACACGAAGCTCAAGAGCTAATGAATAGCAGGAATTTTACAAGGGCATGTAGCGATAGGACGAGGTGGAATGGCTTCAAACTGGAAGAGGGAGATTTAGATGAGATATTAGGAAGACATTTTTTACTGTGAGGGTGGTGAGACACTGTCCCAGGTTGCCCAGAGAAGCTGTGGCTGTCCCATCCCTGGAGGTGTTCAAGGCCAGGCTGGATGGGGCTTGGAGCAACCTGGGCTGGTGGGAGGTGTCCCTGCCCATGGCAGGGGGGTTGGAACTGGGTGAGCTTTAATGTCCCTTCCAACCCAAACCATTCTATGATCCTATGAATTTGAAGAGAGTTGCAGCTGCCAGGATGCAAGAGTTTGTGCAGGTGGTTACGCTGGAAAGATGGGATTCCTCGAGTGCAGCTTGAAACCTAGGAATTGCTGGAATTGCTGAGGTGATGTAGGGGAGGAAAAAATACCCTCTTGGGTGATCCAGGACTATTTACTCTCAAGCTGCTTCTGGATATTTGTGTTTTCAGAAGCGTCTTTATAGCTGCATAAACAACGACTGTGGATTTCTGGCACCTGTGCAGAGGTATTTCATCCCCAACAATGCAGAGGTCGAAGTGCAGGGATTTTGTTTGTTTATTAACTAATTTGCTTGGCGAGGTGTTCAGAAAAACAAACATTTGGTAATTACGCAGGTGGATTTCCGTATGAAAGGAGAGGTGAAGACTGTCACTGAAATAATTGTGCTGTATTGATACATTGCCTATTTATGTGGATTTCTGCAGGTTTTAAAATGGTACTGTATATGCTCATATTCCACTACTTAAATAATTTACATTTCCTTTCCCGAGGGAGAAGCAGGAGGTAATTGTCATAATGTGTGCGCGTTTATTTCAGAACCGTATGTACCCTAAAGGAGCACTGTTAGGCTTCTTTTCCCTAACTCCGTTCATCAAAACCATGCAGTTTTATTTGTTTTTGAATCACATGACTTTTGATTTCCATTTTTTTAAAATCAGTGATGGTAGTGATTATGGGTAACTTCCATAACAAACATGTAGGCATCTGGCACAGCAGGAAGAGGAAGCAGAATTGTAGTACCTTGGGCACTGGGTTAAGATGCTCCTCTCTTCTCTTCAAGCTTCTAATTGGGAAGCGTGATTAGTGGTAATTGAATCGTCTGTCAAATTGAATTTTAGAGCATGGAAAGGACAGGCAGTTGCTTTTAAATGTAATCATAGAATGATTAGAGTTGGAAGGGACCTTAAAGGTCACGTAGTTCCAACCCCCCTGCCATGGGCAGGGACACCTCCCACCAGCCCAGTTTGCTCCAAGCCCCGTCCAACCTGGCCTTGAACACCTCCAGGGATGGGGCAGCCACAGCTTCTCTGGGCAACCTAGGACAGTGCCTCACCACCCGAGTAAAGAATTTCTTCCTCATTGGGCAAAACAATTTCTTCTTAGTTGGGCAAAACAGATTCAGAGGTAACAAAGAGCAATTATTCAATATACATAAATCAAGTGTTAGACATATTATTGTTGTAACTTTTTCTTTAGCAATATTTTCTTCTTACGTAAGAGATGTAGTAATAATTCTGCGATTATACCGTTAACATTTAAATTTCCACTAGCACTAAATTCTCACTGACATGTAGTTGATGAGAGCGCGACGGAAGGGGGTGGGGAGGGCGGCTGCCCCGGGAAGAGGCATTTGGCTGCAGCACAGAAGAGAGCGGCTGTTACGGCCGGGACGCCCGGGGAGCCACAACCTGAACAACAGACTGTTTGTACAGAGTGACTTCAAGGACTTCTGCTGGCTGC